GTGGGTGAGAGCAATGGTTAGAATGAGTCTGATTGTAATTGGCTTCACAACATGGGGAAAAGGTCTCATTGAAATCACACCCTTGCTTCTGATGAAACCTTTTTTCTACAAGGCGTGCCTTGTACCTGCTGACTGAGCCATCAGGGTTCTCCTAGATGCGAAACACCCACTTGCAGCCTATAGACTGCCTATTAGGAGGAAGAGGAACAAAAGTACAAGTGTTATTACTACTCAAGGCATCAAATTCAGACTGCATAGCCTCTTTCCACTTAGCATCTGCAAGAGATTGTTTTACAGTTTTGGGTTCTGTATGAGTGAGTAACACCTTTGGTTGCACAAAACCTATTTTAGATCTTGTGATAATTGGATGTTGATTAATAGGTTTAGAGCTAACTGCTACAACATTAGCAAGAATGAAGCATGGTGTAGGGGTAGCTGTCAGAGGTTTTGAAAGAGAAGCCACAAAGGACAGCTGAGAAGGAGAAGAAAGATTAGCCGCAGACTCAGTAAAAGAGGGAGAAATGCCTTTTGCATGACTTGTAGAAGTAGAGGAACCGAAGGGAATGGCAGAGGCATGTAAGTTAGTAGAAGAAAAAGGAATAGCTGTTAGAGGCACAAGCTTAGGAAGAGGGATGCTGGAAAACAAGGAGGATATGGATGATGAAGGAGTCTGGTTGGTGGGTTTATTGACATTAAGGGTTGGAGAAGTAGGTGGAGAAAACAACTCCAGATAGGGAAATTTGGATTAATGAAACAAAACATCCTTGGATATATAAAGCTTGCCACTAGGGGAAAGACATTTATAACCCTTGTGAGAATTGGAATAACCCCAAAACAGGAATTCATGAGACCTGAATTCCAGCTTGTGCGCATGATAAGGTCTTAGAAGGGGAAAACAGGCACAACCAAACACCTTCAAGAACTTGTAGTAAGGGACAACGTGAAACAGAAGAGTATAGGGAACCCGAAATTGAATAGCTGAGGAAGGAAGTCTGTTTATGAGAAAAATAGCTGCGGTGAAGGCATAATCCCAGTATGTTAATGGTAGGGAGGCTTGACTTAAAAGAGTCAAGCCTAGATCCACAATGTGCCTATGCTTCCTTTCCACCACTCCATTTTGATGGTGAGTATGAGGGAAGATAACTCTGTGCACAATGCCAAGATCAGATAGAAACTTGTTGAAGGGATGAAATTCTCCACCCCAATCTGACTGAACAACTTTGATGGGAAATCCAAATTGCAGTTCCACAAGAGACTTAAACTGCTTAAAGACACTACGTGCTTCAGCTTTAGTTTTAAGTAAATACAGCCATGTGAACCTGGAAAAGGCATCTACGAAGGAGATGTAGTAGGTAAAACCTTGTGCTGAAGGTTGAGGAGAAGGCCCCCACAAATCACAGTACACAAGTTCTAAAGGGTGAGAATAAGTGGTGTGTGAGGCAGGTGAGTGCAGTTTATGTAATTTACCCATACAACAAGCAGAACAGAAAAATTCATGAATTTTATTGCTAAATTTGAGATTACAACTTTGTAGCACCAATCTCAAGGTGTTGATATTAGGATGACCTAGTCTTAAATGCCACACATTGGACAAAGCAGGAGAAATATCAACAGTATTAACAGAAGGTACAAGTTTATTTGAAGAGACTAAAGGCTTAACAGACTCAGTAGATTTGGAAATATTGAGCATAGGAAACTCATACAACCCATCAGACCCCACATGACCAGTCAGTAGAGCAACACTAGATACCTGACATTTGGCAAAGCACGAATCAGCTGTGAAAAGAAAGTATACCTGATTGTCACGACAAAACTGACTCACAATTATGAGATTCTTGGTAATAGAAGGCACATGTAAGAGATTATTTAATGTGATAGGTGTGTGAGGATGATTTTAAGACAAAAATTGACTAGAACCAGCAGAGTTGATGAGAAGACCTTGACCATTGCCTATGTAGATATGTTCATAACCCTCAAGAGGTGTGGCTTGCTGTAGATTATTGACATCATTGGTGACATGATATGAGGCTCCTGAATAAGGGTACCAGGACATAGCAGAAGAAGATGGAGTGACATTTGCAATGAATGTGCTGTGTGCAGAATAAGCAAGAGCTGGCCTTGCTTGAGCAGCTGGAGGTCGTGTCCACACATTAGCAGGAAAATGGCCATAAGGCACCTTAGGAAACTGCCAAGGAGCAGCATAATAGGGACTGCCACTGTAAGAGGGAGGCTGAAAGTTCTGATTAAACCTATGCCAGCAATTTAAAGCTGAGTGTCCACCTTTGGAGCAAACTTGACACTGAACTGTAGAGTTTCTTCCACCTGAACCTTTGCCACGACCACCCCTGTTTGATCTGCCACCTCTGAAACTGGAATATTCAGGCTCATCACGGGAGGGAGCTACTTGTGAGTGAGTAAAATCAGTGCTGTCAGATTGAGGATTTTCAGGGGAAGCAGCTTGAGGTGAAACATGTGTAAGATTGAGAGATCCAAGATCTGGCACAATAGACTTCTTAAACCTGTTCAGCCTCAACTCATGTGCAACTAGGAGAATTTCCACCTCATCCAAATCCATATCACCAAACTTACTCTCAACAATAGAAACAACATGAGCATATTCACTAGGAAGCCCCTCAAGAATCACATCAATATGATGAGAGTTGAGAATGAGATCTCCAATTGAGGCAAAAGCATCCACAGTAGTGCGGATTTTCAACAAATAATCAGAAACAGATTGAGACTCCAGAGTCAGGGAACGGAATTCTACATGCAATTGGCGTGCATGTGCACGAGTTTGCTTCTGGAAATAATTGAATAAACGATCCCATAGTTGATGCGAATGAGAGCATCCAAGGACACGCGACAGAATTTCGCTCGAGAGAGTTGATTGAAGCCAAGATAGAAGCAATTGATCTTTCTGAAGCCAAATTGAATACGCAGGATTAATCATACCTTGACGACGAGCATCATCGTCCACAAATTTGGACGAAATTCGAGTGCACACCACGAGATCCGTGAGATTGTGCGCGTTGATGTAGGGTTCCACCTGTTGACGCCAGAGGTGGAAGTTTTTCTCATCGAGTTTGTGCGCGATTTTGAGCGAGAATTGGAGAGGACGCATTTCATCAGTCGCCACCGTGAACGGTGCGGTTTGCATCGTGACGTTAGCGGAAGACGGCGATCCCGACGACGTCATGGATCGAGAATGGCTTAATCTGATACCATGATAGAAGAGATAGAAAGCATAGAAAAGTTTTTCATTTCTGTTATAGTTTCCAAAAGTTAATTACAGAAAATGTACACAGTTACATTTATAAGGCAACTTGTGTGACCTGCTACAACAGGTAAGCTAGTACACAGGACTTGACAAATGTCAGTCACAAACAAAGTTTAAACAGAACTAATGCCTCTATCTTTTGACCTTACTCTAATAATGGCCTAGGATAATCTGCTTTGATGTTAGTTCAAAACCACTTGAAAAAGTTCCATCAGAGTTCAGGTTCAGGAACGACCGTGACTGTTGTTATTCAAACAGTTCTTGTAACTGCCATGGCTCCTTCTTCGATTAGTGCAAGTCTTGTACAATATGCATTTCTTGAATTATAAAATAGGTTTGTACAATATGCATTACTTGCAATTTGATTTCTGCATCCGAATTCATAACTCCAAAAGTGTAATGTGAATTTGAGCTATTTTGCACACTATTTTGAACATGGTTAATGTACCAATTTATGTTGAATTTGAGCTCAATTTCTATAAAGATTATATGCCAAACTTCTATGACAACTCTATGACTTTATCCAGAATTGTTATTATGGTTTCAGCTCATGTTTTGTTTGTGCTGGTAACTTTTTTATATTGCAAATTTTTTAATTGATTAACTCCTTCAAGATGATTCAATAAAATGACTGTCAGAATATATCCAAAATGGTTCTGTGAGCTATTGTTACATGTGAGGACATTTTGTTATGTTTCTTTCATATGCATATTTTTATGAACTAACTTAGTTATGATATAGAACTAGATAATCATTATTACAGGCAGTACTAATTGAAAATGCATTCATGGTTACTTTCCGTTAGACTTTGAACCTATATGTATTGGAAAATTCTTGACTTAGTTTAATTCTTGATTTTTGAGTAAAAGATGAGTTTGAATCTCATTTTTAAAAGCTGTCTCAAAAGATAAAAGTGGTTGATTCACATATACATAAAATGTTAATAAATTTGAACCCCATTCTCTAAAACTAAATCATAAAATGGAGTGTGTCCAAATTATTGGTCATTTGGTTGAGTTTTTTCTTTGTTATTGTGAATTTTCTTATAATTGAACACTTTTTTTATTAATAAATATGATGGTCAGTCTTCATAGAGGTTTGTGAAAATAGTTACGGCAATTTATATAGCGTTGTTTATTTATAATTATTAAGCATATAAAATTTATCATATTAGTGATTTATTATATTTTAAAAAAAATATTTATAGTTATTAATAATTTTATAATAATAATTATATACCAATAACAATCAATTATTATCGATTGATCTAAGATATAAATGAATTTACACGACCAAAATCCAATTCCCTTAATTTGATTTAACATACTAGTATTTATACAAATAAATAACTTTTTATAAGTAAATAATTTTTATTTATAAAAGTACAAAAGTTTACCTAAAAGAGAAGTGAAACAAAATTTGAGAAAATTCATAATTTAATTAGACAAAGCGGTCCCTACATAAGCTACAAACAATGTTATTGTCCATGTCTTGTTTCTCACCCTCCCAACATAGAGTGAATCGCCAGATTTAACTTCAAAAGTTCAAACATTAAAGATAAAACTTAGTTTCTCACGAATTTTGTATGGCATCTCCGCCTCAATGACCCTTTTCTTTCTTTTATATTCACTCTTTTCTTCTTCTTCTCCTCAGCTTATATTCTTCTTCTTTGTTTGACTCTTCCACTCATTGCAATTTTCAGTTCTTTCTCTGTTGTTCTTTCATGGCTCCAGCATTGGAAGTTCAAGGAGGAGAAACTGTGTCCCTAAACAATGTTAGTGATGCTACAATTAGATCTAGAGTTACTGTTATTGGTAGTGGAAATTGGGGGAGTGTTGCATCTAAGCTTATTGCTTCCAATACCATTAAAATGAGCAATTTCCATGGTACTTTTCTTTCTTTTGTTTTGTGTTTATAGTTCTCTTTATTTTTAGTTCATTAGATTTTTATGAGGTTCTTTGTTTTTTAAGATTATGTGCTTCTTTTGTACCAATGAATTTTGTATAACATGAAATATGTTCTACTTATATGACATCAACGCATGTGATTGAAATTATATTGGATATTCAACACGTGTTAGTGTTTGACACTTTACTAATCTATATTTATACACTTTCATTTTTTCAAAATAGTATTCTCAACTTTATTATAAAAAGTTTATTTTTCAAATTTATTGAATATTTATTATATTTGAATAGTATATAGACTACATATATTAATTATTTAATAAACTTATATGAAAGTCTATTTAAAGTATATTGTACATATAGGTTGATAATCACGTTGCAATTGTTAATGCAATTGCAGATTACAATTTAAAATGTAATGGTGAAAATGCTAATGTGATTCTGGAATATGTAAATTTTAACTTTGTGTACTTAAACATAACTTTTCCACAAACCAATAGACTTTCATGCATAATAATCATAAATTTTTCATTTTGATGAACTATTTGAAAAATTCAGATGAAGTTAGAATGTGGGTCTATGAGGAGACATTACCAAATGGTGAGAAGCTCACAGATGTCATCAATCAAACCAATGTAAGGACTATTTCACTATGTAGTACTGAATAGTTCTGAACAAAAGGTGTGTCTGGTGTTCAACACACGAGTAATACATATCAATTAATTTATTTTTATACTTATTATCAGTCTCAACATGTCAGCATTAATGTTGTGTCCGATGTTAATGTGATATCGTGTCTGGTACTAATTAGTATATTAATATTGCTTTTGGCAGGAAAATGTAAAGTACCTCCCTGGAATCAAGCTTGGAAAAAATGTTATTGCAGATCCAGACCTTGAAAATGCAGGTATTAAATAGTACTTTTATTTCAATATCTTTACTATGAATTAGATAATTAAATTTTCAGATAGGAATAAAGAGAGATAGGAAATTCCATAAGCATTAAAAAAATTGTTTTTACATGTTTTTAGGGTAAGGTGTTGGTGTCAAGTTGTGTGTGGTGTTCTGATTGAGTAAATTATGCAGTGAAGGATGCAAATATGTTAGTGTTTGTGACACCACACCAATTTATGGAAGGAATATGCAAAAGAATAGCTGGGAAAATAAGGGCAGATGCTGAGGCTATTTCCCTTGTTAAGGGTATGGAGGTTAAAATGGAAGGACCTTGCATGATCTCAACTCTCATTTCTGAAGAACTTGGAATCAATTGTTCGGTTTTAATGGGAGCAAACATTGCAAATGAGGTAGTTAGATTTCTTGCAAACTAGTTGCATTTTCGGAACCTGGATACTCAGGGCCGTCTTAAGTATTCAGAGGCTCAGTGGAGGTTAACCATGGTTTAAGTGTGAGAAATCAAAAAGGGATCCTATTTTGGCATGATTTAACCGTGACAAATATTTTACGAGACCATTTTTAGTCATGGTTTAAACGTGTCAAATTTTAGACTCGTTGTAGTAGCACGCGTTAAACGTCCTCAAAGACGGTCACGTGGATACTCTACAACTACATTATGATGCTTCAGTTGTAATACAAGCTTTGTTTTCTCTCTCAAAATATGATGGTTCTTACAGCTGAAGTATCACACTATAGGTGTAGAGATCAATTTCGTGTTTTTGGATATTTTGATAAATTGAATTTTGTACAGATAGCTGTAGAGAAGTTTAGTGAAGCAACTGTTGGATATAGGCAGAACAAAGAAGCTGCAGAGAGATGGGTTCATTTGTTTTATACACCTTATTTCATTGTGACAGCTGTAAGTTCAACAATCTTGTAAAAAAAATTTCTCTTTATTTCGTAGTTGGATTTTTTCCCTAAATCCAACAGCTTAGTAGCCATGTAAAACTGACACTATAGATTGAAGGCAAATCGGATGTCAGACACGACAATGATACTGTGATCCCATTTAATTATTGTATAGTGTGCCAAAAGTCAGTGTCGAGTCTGTTTTCCGTGTCTCTGCTTCATAGTTTTGTGGTCGTTGCAGAGGCTTTAAATTCAGAAACATTGCCATTTAACATGATAGAATCATGTGATCATGAATAGTTTCAAATTTCTAAAACACTAACTTATTACTTGTGTTGATGATTTATTTTTTTCGGTTCTATACTAAAATTTTAATTAGGTTCAAGATGTTGAGGGAGTTGAATTATGTGGAACTCTAAAAAATGTTGTGGCCATAGCAGCAGGTTTTGTTGATGGCTTGGAGATGGGAAATAACACAAAAGTAAGCTTAAATGGATTTTAGGATATGAAAATTTTTCACGGATTATTGCTTTTGTATCTAAGATTGTTTTAATATGTAGGCTGCAATCATGAGACTTGGTCTTAGAGAAATGAAGGCATTTTCAAAGTTGTTGTTTCCATCTGTTAAGGATAGTACCTTTTTTGAGAGCTGTGGTGTAGCTGACCTTATCACAACATGCTGTAAGTAAAAGAGCTTATTAATTTCACCCTTCGGTTTGAGATTCACTGCAGTCAAAGCATTATGTGTCGGATTTTAGGCTCTCCTCCGTCGATAACATATGTTACCATTAATAATATCTAAGAAAATAGAAGTGACGGAATGTAATTACGTGCTAGTGTCATTTACAGACACATGTTAAATATCAAACACACCTTTAATTCGAAGTGTCTGATTCCACATAGTTTATAAACCGTTCACTTTCGTCCAAAGATTGAAGTCTATTGAAAGTATTATGTAGTGACTGCTTGAGCTTTTTGCTACATCAAGTCTATTGCTCAATCATTCTTTGTTCAGTTTCATGAAAAAAAAAACATATTATCTGCTGTTGCAGTGGGTGGAAGAAACAGGAAAGTTGCTGAGGCTTATGCAAAGAATGGAGGGAAGAGGTTTGTATCTGTTTTGTTTTTTCTTTCTGTTTAGTCTATAATTCCAAGTGGGAAAAAGGAAATAGTTGATTAATTAGTTATGCATGATTTTCTATATTCTCCATAGATCTTTTGATGAACTTGAAGCTGAGATGCTGCAAGGCCAAAAGTTGCAGGTATAATAATCATGAATTTTACTATGTTAAGCCAAAAATTATAATGTTTACTTTTGAATGTAATGACTAGATATTCTTAGATATCAATCACATATTCATTCTAGTGCAACTTTGAAGCACATACTCCTTCAAAATTAAGCACGATTCAATGTCTGATACGCATCAGTGTCACAATGTCTAACTTCTAAAATTAAGCACACACGTCTCAGTGTTTGATCATGTACGACACTATGTTTTATGACTTAATTTTAAATTTTGGTGCATCAATTAGGGTGTCTCAACTGCAAGGGAAGTATATGAGGTACTAAACCATCGCGGGTGGTTAGAGTTGTTTCCACTCTTCTCAACAGTACATGAAATTAGCAGTGGCCAACTTCCACCATCAGCCATAGTTGAATACAGTGAGAAGCAACCAAGATCATTCTAATTCGAGGTGCTAGCTTGAAGATAGTCTTGTTGTTTTTATTAAGTCAATCAATTATAATGACTTTAACTAAAATTGTCTTTAAAGCCATCATCATAAACGATTAATTTTAATTGTTTGACAGTGTATTGAAACCAAACTCATAAGTTATTATAGTCACAATTATGAACATACAACAGTGTCGCAGTGTTAAATCTTTTAAAAGAAAATTTTATCGTAAGAATTAATTTATGCAATTGCACGCAGAGGATATTCTATTTATAAAAAAATAATAAATTATAAAAATTTTATATGAATGCATCCAAACGAAGCCTTCAAAGCACTGATAATAGTTCCCCGCCGCCGCAACGGCCGGACCATTTCCCAACAGCTCTCTCCACCGCCGTCCTCTTTCGACATAAACTTCGGAAGCGGCACCGGCTCCTTACGCTCTTGCCTCATCTTAATATCACTCAGTTCCATTTGTAACGGAAACTTCACCATCCCAAATATACCTGTATATCTCTTCCTCTCACTACCACTTCTCCGGCACCGGCTTTCCTTGCCGGACGGTGATCGAATTCCGGGAACAACCGCGTTCTCTTTTCTTGTTTGCGGTTCTGTTTTGCGTGTTATAACTTTTCCGAACAAAACGACGTCGTTTGGTAGTTCAGTTAAAACACCGGTGGGAAATTCAAAGTCGGTTCGGGTTGTACCTGTTTCAGAAACGGATCCGACTTGTTTGTTATTATGTTTCATGATTTTGGTGGAAGAAAGAGAGTGAAGGAGTTGTGAATGATGTTTGAAATGAAATTGAAGGAAAAGTATTTATATAGTTTTTTTTTTCTTCTTAAGAAACATATTTTATAAAGTTAATTACTAGTTGGAATGAATAGGAAGGAAAAGATATGGGTCATGCATGCTTATGTGTGGAAAACACGTTAAAGACTTGTGAGTTTTATTTTCTAGAATGCTTTTTTTTGTTGCATTTTTTCCCCATCTAGAATACTAAGAGATATTAAAATGACGAGAGATATTAAATAGTTTAAATCCTATTCATTACACATAATCATATTTGGTGTGTTCAAATCTTCTTATCAGATAACACAATTATACTTATATATAATGTATTATATCAAATTTATTTAAGAATACAATTTCATATATATTGTTCATAAAATAAAATTGTAAGATATTATTTATATTTATATATTAATTTAAAAATTTATTTTGACAATTATAAATTTATTTTATGATAATGTATGAATAACTAAATATAAAATTATGTTGTTCTTTATATGTATATGTATGTCTCAATAAAAATCTTGTAAAATACGGAATCAACTGAACTAATCTAAATCGTATTTGTTTGATATGATTTGGTTCGGTTCAGTTTTACTTCTAAAAGTCAATCAAATCACATATTTATTTCTCTTACGGTTCAGATAATTTTTAGCGTCAAAATAAATATTTTATTTTTAAAAATTATTAAGCTTTGCTTTTATCTTTCAAATGTATTCTCTAATTAATATTTCTAATTTAATATTTTCACATTGATAATTAGAATACATCAATAATCAACACAAATAATTTGATAAAAATATTATTTCCTCTCTTTTATTTATCATATTTTTTGAATTTGTGTAAAGTGTCAAGTATGACACTTATTATGCAATGGAGGGAGTATCTATGATTGAAACTATTCATAGATATTGAAAAAGCTCATCGACTCAATGGTAAATTTGTACAAACTGAGTTCTTTTCTTCTCTACCTTGTTTCTAAGTCAACTGAATCCCCTTATTCTCTTTCCATCAATCTAAACACTCAATTTGATATATAGTCTCTGGTGATGCATCTTCTCAAGCTAAATCACCTTTAATCTCTGATGAGCTTTTTGAGTTACTCGTCTGTTAGTGGTTTTCTTACTTTCATATATATTCTTTTCGAAGCTCTCATGCAAAGATCTATGTGCAAAGTTCATCAGCGACAAACGTTGGTCTTGTTTAGTGTCGTGAAGTATCTAGTTCATATTCGTCGATTGATAAAGTGTTTGTTTTTGGGTGGATTCTTGCCAGTAATGAGTTACGTCGTCTTTTTCAATGGTCATTTCTTGTTCGTCAATGTTTGATTCGGATGACATTTTCGTTGTCTGGTTCGGTGTCGCTTTGTTATTTTGATGCAATAGTTGGGTTTGTTTTTATTGGTTTTTCTACGATGTGAATGTTGTTGTTCTCACGCTATATTTTGAAGTTATTTTGTCCACCTCCTAAGGGTTTACGCTTTGATTTTATTTATATCATTATTGAGTCTACTCTCGATTTTTCACCTTATAGTTTAATTTTAAATCTATTTGTACGCTTGCATACATCAAACTATTTGGTTATAGTGTAAGAAATATGCTTCAGATTAATTTATTGAGTTTTTGAATCAAGAACTATATTTGAAAATTGGTCAAGTCATATCATTGTTAGAATCTCAAAAACACTTTTAGTTTTGCAAAAATTGAAATTCTGGAAGTGTGACTCGAATCATACACTTTTATGATTCGAATCAGAGGAACATGGAATTCAGGAAATATTTTCATATAGTCGTGATTTGAATCACATATTGCTTTATTTGAATCATACTAAGCATTTTTTTCCTTGGATTTGATTTTGTTAGCTTGATTGAAACCACACATTTTCATGACTCGAATCATGTGATTCGAGTCACATAAAGTGTGACTAGGATCGCATAATTGGTTATTTTAATTTTTCAGCCTTTGATTACAATCACTTGATCATTTGACATAAATCATGCTTCATGCTTATGAATCGAATCAAACACTATTTTTCATTCATTTTTGTACTGGATCACCAACATATATGAAAGCATTTTCAATCAAAATCTTTCACAATGTTGGAAAACATACACTTTCACTATTGATTTGAAATTTCACAACACATGTTGTTGTATCCCAAAATTTGCCCTCGCATTTTTCCACAAGAAATCGCAGCTTCAGGCGTTTCCTGATTTTTCAAACTGGCTCAAGAATCGGTCAAACAGACTTTTCTCGTCAGTCAGGACACAATTAGGGTTTCATTGATTTTCAGGGCTCTGGAATGTTTCACACAGTTGGCTTAGGGTTTTGGTTAACTTTGGCTCAACTTTGATCAGACGAACGTTCTTTGGCATTTAATCAGGAATTAGGGTTTTTCGTGTGCGGTTCCTCAGAAAGATTTAATTCTACGATGCTTTGCAAGTTATTCCGAGATTTGGGTTTGAATTCGCATTGTTTGATTTAATCAGTAAAAGAAGGCATTTGGTTTGAATTCACATTTGTTTGTTGGAACCAGTCAAATGATACATTCAGTTTGGATTTACAGTGTTTGGTAAGAAATCAATAAGAAGGGAATGCGTCTGATCAGTTATTGCGTTTGACTGTGCTTTGCTTTGGATGATGGAAGCGCCAAGTTCATTATTTTGATCAACGTGGAATCAATGTTTAGTTGATTATTTATTATTCTAAAGATTAAATATCTGGAATTTAATTTTCAGTTATTTTAATTTAAAAGAACTATAAATAATAAGTAAATAATTGAAAAAGGAGGAAATAGAATTAATTGGATAATAAAAACTTTTATTTATTTTTAAATTATTCGTACAATTATTGTTTACAATTTACAACAATGATTTTACATTAATTTAAATTTAAATAAAAAATGAAACTATCCTATTTTTTCTAAGTCTCCAATTCTTCATTCTTCATTTAATACCCCTCTCCATTCAATTATTCATCTGCAAAAGAAAAGAAGAAAAGTCAAATAGCAGATAAGTAAGAGACATATATAAAATTCATCATTAAGGGCCACTGATTGGGATCAGTTAACCCTCTCTGCAAATCACGGGATTTCTCCCGGTTCACAAAGAGGGACGAATTTTTATTTGCTAAAAATGAATGCACAAAAGTCAAATTGCACAAATTGTCAAACTGCATAGTTCAATACAAACAGAAAGTCCAAACTGAATCACAACTTTCAAACCATCCAAAAATTGCCAAAGTACAAGTTACTGTCACAAAGCTATTCAAAAGATTTGAAAAGATACAAAGCACAAAATCTGGAAGAAGGGACAAATATGCAGAGGAAAATTGTTATGCAAGCAAACATTTCATTTTTCATCATTTCCCAACAAAGTGGCCCTTTCAGAACAGAAGTACAATGCATAAATAATATTTTAATGCAAGCTGTACTGAGAGAGAAGAAAAAGAGAACAAAGAAAGCAGGCTTAGGCTTTAGGCAGGAAGATAATATAAAACAAAAACTGAACACAGTGGATAAAAGAAAGAGGCAAACCAATACACCACAAAGAAAGGCAAAACCTGCTGAACAAAAGGCCAAGCCTGATGAACAAAAGGCCAAGCCTGCTGAACCTGTCAAGGCCATAACCTGTCAAAGGCCTAACATGAAGCCTGAGCCTCAAATCCTCACAACCTGCTAGTAACCACAAAACCCCTACCAGACCTGCATAAGCCTTATGAATAAGCATTAAGCCAGAACCAACCAGCCTCATAACTTGTCCACAAAAAGCCAGTAACATAAAGACCTGCATAAGCCTTATCCCTTTCAAAAAGAGACATAACCATCAGTACTGAAAAAAACCTTCAAGCACGCAAACATAACAAACATAAACCCAATACTGACCCAAGTTCATAACAAAAAGCCTTCCAGCCTTAAACATCACAAGCCTCACCATGCCTGTCAAATAACCAAAACCAAAAAAGCCTTAACAACCAGATAACACACAAGCCTGCACCTGCTGAAACCTCACAAACCTGTACCTGTACCATTCAAACTCCAACACAAAAACCAGTTGCAAAAAGGCCATTAACCTGCATTAAATCTGTGTATCCTACCGGCCTAAGCACAAACCTAAAGCCAAAACCAGTAAGACCTTGTTCAAGGCCAAGACCTGCATTAGCCTTACCAACCAAAGTCATTAAACCTATCAAGCTCAACCTAAGGCCAAACTGTCCCAAACCAGTCCAACAAGCTAAACCAACACAACCTGTCAAACTAAACCTAAGCAAAGCCTCAGGGAAACTATCATCATAGGGCATTCCAGCAGGCACCACGGTCATACAACATTAAGCATGTAAGCAAGGCAACAGAAGCAAAACGAAACTACTCAAAACGCATACTCAGTATCAATACACAAGGCCCTCAGGATGCCACCATTGGGCAAGGAACAAACATAGCGACGGAAAAGGCAACTCAAAGGCCACAAACGTTCAAAGGTATCTCAAGGCAACATAAACGGAAGGCAACACAAGGAAGAGAAGAAGAAAGAAGTGAATATCAAAAAGGCATCACATTTCAACAGGAAAATCAAAAAGGCAACAAAGGCAAGCCAACGAGGAGAAGAGATAAAGAAGTATACAAAGGTACCAGGAAGCAAGATTCATTCACGTTCCCTTCACCGTCAGAAGCCCTCCTCGACGCCTCCGTTTCATCCTCCTCCTTCTCCAAGACCGAAGGTAGTAGTTTCCTTTCTTCCCTTTCATAATCCTCAAACAACAAGGCAAATAACAAACATTCCAAATCAGAAGCTATGCATGCAATAAAATTCATAAAAAAGCGTAAAACCCTAAAAGACGAAGTGAAACGAAGTCACTACCTTTTGCTCTCATCTTCGCGTTGTCCAACCATGGAGGGAAAAGGATGAACATTGGCGTCTGGTGGCTAGGGATGAAGAGGAATCAGAAGCTTGATTCAGAGAC